AGACTCCTACAATCTCCCCAAACTGAATCAGGAAGAAATGGAGAATCTGAATAGGCCAATCACAAGTAAGGAAATAGAAACGGTAATCAAAAACCTGCCCAAAAATAAGAGTCCAGGACCAGACGGCTTCTCTGGAGAATTTTACCAAACATTCAAAGAAGACTTCATACCTATTCTTCTCAAACTATTCCAGAAAATTGAGGAAGATGGAGTACTCCCTAACACATTCTATGAAGCCAACTTCACTCTGATCCCCAAACCTGACAAGGACAACACAAAGAAGGAGAACTACAGGCTGATATCACTGATGAACATAGATGCAAAAATCCTCAACAAAATTCTGGCAAACCGAATACAGCAATACATCAAAAAGATTATACACCATGATCAAGTGGGATGTATACGAGGGACACAGGGATGGTTCAACATCCGCAAGTCAATCAACGTGATACACTACATCAACAAAATGAAAAACAAAAACCACATGATCATCTCAATAGATGCAGAGAAAGCATTCCACAAGATCCAACTAGCATTTATGAAAAAAACCCTCAACAAAATGGGTATACAAGGAAAGTACCTCAACATAATAAAGGCCATATATGACAAACCCACAGCCAACATCATACTCAACGGACAAAAACTGAAAGCCATCCCTCTGAGGACAGGAGCAAGACAAGGGTGCCCACTTTCACCTCTCCTATTCAACATAGTACTTGAGGTGTTGGCCAGAGCAATTCGGCAGGAAAAAGAAATAAAAGGAATCCAACTAGGTAATGAAGAAGTAAAACTCTTGCTGTTTGCAGAGACATGATCTTATATATAGAAAACCCCAAAGAATCCATAGAAAAACTATTAGAAATAATCAACAACTACAGCAAAGTAGCAGGGTATAAAATCAACATTCATAAATCAGTAGCATTTCTATACACTAACAATGATCTAACAGAAAAAGAACTCAAGAACTCAATCCCATTCACAATCGCAACGAAAAGAATAAAATACCTTGGGATAAACTTAACCAAGGAAGTGAAGGATCTATACAATGAAAACTACAAGACTTTCTTGAAAGAAATTGACGACGACATAAAGAGATGGAAAGACATTCCATGCACATGGATTGGAAGAATAAACATAGTTAAAATGTCCATACTACCTAAAGCAATCTACAGATTCAATGCTATCCCAATCAAAATCCCAAGAACATTCTTCACAGAAATTGAACAAAGAATCCTAAAATTCATATGGGGCAACAAAAGACCGCGAATTGCTAAAGCAATCCTGAGCAAGAAAAACAAAGCCGGTGGAATCACAATCCCTGATTTCAAAACATACTACAAAGCTACAATGATCAAAACAGCATGGTACTGGTACAAAAACAGGTCCACAGATCAATGGAACAGAATTGAAAGCCCAGAGATAAAACCACACATCTATGGACAGCGAATATTCGACAAAGGAGCATAGGGCCTGCAATGGGGAAAAGAAAGTCTCTTCAACAAATGGTGCTGGGAAAACTGGACAGCCACATGCAAAAGATTGAAAATTGACCATTCTTTTTCACCACACACCAAAGTAAACTCAAAATGGATCAAAGACCTAAAGATTAGGCCTGAAACAATAAGTCTTCTGGAAGAGAATCTAGGAAGTATACTCTTTGACATCAGTTTCAAAAGAATCTTTTCGGACACTATAACTCCTCAGTTGAGGGAAACAATAGAAAGAATAAACAAATGGGACTTCATCAGACTAAAGAGCTTCTTTACGGCAAGGGAAAACAGGATTGGAACAAAAAAACAGCTCACTAATTGGGAAAAAATATTTACAAGCCACTTATCCGACAAAGGGTTAATCTCCATCATATACAAAGAACTCACACGGCTTAACAACAAAAAAAAAACAACCCGATCAAAAAAGGGGCAGAGGACATGAACAGACATTTCTCAAAAGAAGATATGAATATGGCCAACAGACACATGAAAAGATGTTCATCATCGCTAATCATCAGGGAAATGCAAATCAAAACTACACTAAGATATCACCTTACACCTGTTAGATTGGCAAAAACATCCAAAACCAAGAGCGACAAATGTTGGAGAGGTTGTGGAGAAAAAGGAACCCTCACACACTGTTGGTGGGAATGCAAACTGGTATAGCCACTATGGAAAACAGTATGGAGATTTCTCAAAAAGTTAAAAATAGAAATACCCTATGACCCAGCCATCCCATTACTGGGTATCTATCCTAAGAACCTGAAATCAGAAATCCCAAGAGTCCCTTGCACCCCTATGTTCATCGCAGCATTATTTACAATAGCCAAGACGTGGAACCAACCTACATGCCCAGAAACTGATGATTGGATAAAGAAGATATGGTATATATACACAATGGAATACTACTCAGCCATAAAAAAAGACAAAATTGGCCCATTCCCAGCAACGTGGATGGACCTCGAGGGTATTACGTTAAGCGAAATAAGCCAGTCAGAGAAAGATGAACTCTATATGACTCCACTCATAGGTGGAAGTTTATATGTTGACAAGGAGATCTGATCAGTGGTTACCAGGGAAAAGGGGGGGTGGGGAGAGGGCACAAAGGGGGAAGTGGTGTACCCACAACATGACTAACAAAAATCTACAACTGAAATCTCACAAAGTTGTAATCTATCATAACATTAATTTAAAAAAAAAAAAAAAGTTGGTCTTGGGCCGGCCCAGTAGTACAGCAATTAAGATTACATGTTCCGCTTCAGTGGCCAGAGGTTTGCCAGGTCAGATCCCGGGTGTGGACATATGCGCCGCTTGTCAAGCCCTGCTGCTGTAGGCATCCCACATACAAAAAAAAGTAGAGAAAGACGGGCAGGAATGTTAGCTCAGGGCCAGTCTTCCTCAGCAAAAGAGAGGAGGATCAGTGGCAGATGTTAGCTCAAGGTTAATCTTCTTCAAAATAAGAAGTCAGTCTCTCTCTATATATCTATGCTGTTTTTGAGATTCATTTTAGTTGTATCAGTACTTTGTTCATTATTATCGCTGAGTGGTATTCCATTTGAATATATCACAATTTGTTTATCTATGTATCTGCTGTTATACGTTTGAGTTTCTTTGTGGATATATGTCTTCTTTTTCTCTTGGAAAAATGCATAATGCTTTCTGAGCCATAGTTTTATAAATTACTTAACTTTATACCAAATTTTATAAGGAACAACCAGTTTTCCAAATTAGTTGAATTATTTTATACTCTGTCAAGTGATATACTATAAAAGTTACAATGACTTCACATTATCATTATCTTTTTTTGTGTGTGAATCTTTTTAATTCTTGCCATTGATGTGAGTGTGAAGTGGTATCCCGTTATAGTTGAACTATGCATTTTCTTGACAATTGCAGATTTTGACATTCTTTTCATGTGGTTACTGTCTATTCACATGTCTTCTTTTGTGAACTGTCTGTTTACCTCTTAGACTTTTCTTTTTAATTAGGATGGTCATATTTTGATCAGTTTATTGTGGAGAATCTTCATGTACTCTGAATACAAGTCCTTGTCAGAATTATTGTATGTGAATATTTTTCCTAGTCTATGGCTTTCTTAGTCTCTCTGCTCCTAAGTTCTCTCACCTTATGTACCTTCCTACTCCTCACTCTTATTAGATGACCTCATTTCAGGATTTATAGAAAAAAACTTAAGCTTTCTGATTGGAATTCTTTGTTCTTTATTATACTAAGATTGTAAAACTTATCTACACATATTTTCCTCCTTCCAGAGTATTAAAAGTGATGGTTAAATTCTTTATGTGTGTTGAAGACCTCATTCACAGTTCCAAGCAGTGTATACATAAGTTAGGTAGTAATATTGGCCTTAAAGGAGAATCTAGTTCCCAAAGCACTAAATGAAAGTTATGCCCTTGAGGAACAATGACTATTTTAGCTGTTTTTTTGTTGGAATAATTTTAAAAATTCTCTAGGGAATATACTTAACAAATACATAATAAGTCTCCCCACTGTGTGGGAAATACAGTAATTCAGCTTTTACAGGTAGGTCATTTTCTACATTTGCTAACAGAAATATGTTTTGTTCTTTTGTATGGAGATTAACATCCCTTACATGTGGAAAAAATTGTATCTAGGGCATCTTGCCTTCATCTTCTTCATAATACTTGCTTCAAACTGACATTATGTTATACATCTTTATATATGTGTTTAATATCTGTTCCTCCTCCTACAACATATGCTCCATGATGGTGGCGAATTTGATCACTGCTGTGACCCCAGGAGCCAGAACATAAAAATATTAATTTCACAATTTACATGAAAAAATGAGTGGGGGAGTTTAGAAAGCAGAGGGAACTATTCTTCACTCTGTACCTTCTGAGCCATATATCAAGAGTTAATTTTCACATGAAATTAGGTCAGACAACTATGGATTTCAAGTGAAAATGCTGTACTGAATATTTATCTTCTATTTTATATCTGAAACAGTAGGATATCACAGCTGAAGGAACCTTAGAAACCCAACTTCCTTCATTCCTTCATTTGTCCATTGAATGATGCCAGTGACTTGCTGCGTTTTATATCTGACTTTCATCTTTTGACTTTTTTTCAAAAAATTTGAGAAAAATATCAAATATGAAGTTCCCGAAGAAGACAGTATAAGTGTATGAATATGTATATATAAAATATTATTACAAATATATTAATTAATATAAATATAATTATATAAAAATACATAATTATATATATAAGAGAGTGAGTGTGTGTGTTTGAGACATATATATATATATATATACACACATATATACATAGAGAGATAACAGAGATATAGGGTGAAAATATTTACATGGACACCCTGATGTGTTTGTCGAAAAGAAAAGAGTAATTTACTCATACATGAATAGATCAATGAGTAAGTGATAAAATGGATGGAATAAAGTAATAAAAGCAGGGTCTTGATCAGACAGAATTCTTCACTTTCTTTGTCACTTTCAGTTTTGAAGGGATAAGAAAATGTCTTCTCAAAACCACACTGTAGTGATGGAATTCATTCTCTTGGGACTCACAGATGATCCAGTGCTAGAGAAGCTCCTGTTTGTGGTGTTTCTGGTGATCTACCTAATCACGCTGGCAGGGAATCTGTGCATGATCGTGCTGATCAGAACCAACTCCCACCTCCAAACTCCTATGTATTTCTTCCTTAGCCACCTCTCCTTTGTAGACATTTGTTATTCTTCCAATGTTACTCCAAATATGCTTTACAATTTCCTCTCAGACCAGAAGATCATCTCCTATGCTGGATGCTTCACACAGTGTCTTCTATTCATTGCCCTGGTGATCACTGAGCTTTATATCCTTGCTTCAATGGCTTTGGATCGCTATGTAGCCATTTACAGCCCTTTACATTACAGTACCAGAATGTCCAAGAACCTTTGCGTCTCTCTAGTCACAGTCCCTTATACTTTTGGCTTCCTTAATGGACTCTCCCAGACACTGCTGACTTTTCACTTGTCTTTCTGTGGCTCCCTTGAAATCAATCATTTCTACTGTGCTGACCCTCCACTTTTATTGTTGGCCTGCTCTGACACCTATGTCAAAAAGATGGCACTGTTTGTAGTTGCTGGTTTTACTCTCTTAAGCTCCCTCTTCATCATTCTCCTGTCTTACATTTTCATCATTGCAGCCATCCTGAGGATCCATTCTGCTGAAGGCAGATACAAAGCCTTTTCTACTTGTGGTTCCCACTTGACAACAGTGACCATATTTTATGGGACCCTCTTCTGCATGTACTTAAGACCCCCATCTGAGAAGTCTGTAGAAGAGTCCAAAACAGTTGCAGTGTTTTATACTTTTTTGAGCCCAATGCTAAACCCATTGATCTACAGCCTAAGGAACAAGGATGTGATCCAGGCCATCCAGCAAATAAAGGGAAATCTCTTTCATAAAATTGCAGTTTAGGCATCTGTTCATTTGTACTTACTAATGCCTGTGATGACATAGTGACGCCCTTCAAAGGCTAAACCTACTACTCTATAGTCATGATTTATTTAGCTTCATGAACTCTCAGTGACATTAACTAAATTCTCCTCAAAATTAGTACCTTGAAGAAAACTTGTTTTAATAATAACTGCAATATTGAAAATAAAAATATTGTCTTTAGCAGGGAACCTTTAAAAATAAATTGACAGTATCCAATAATTCCACATAATAATTTAATATTTTTACTTACTTGTGGGTACATAATATAATTAGCTCACTCTTATGGAAACATCAGAAATCCATCTTCTCTGAATTATATGGTTTACAAAGCCATAATGAGGTTCAAAATAGGTTGACTAGTTTTACACTTTTTTTTATTTATCAAATTATTTCTTCGTCAATGTGTGGCATAGAACAATGGCTCTGGTGCCTGACTAATTACTTGAATAATCTTGGGGAAATTTTCAATATATATATCACACATAGGTCAAAACTTTCTGTAAATTTTCCCCCAACCCACATCATACACATCCTGAAAACTGTTGGCCCATTTATAAATACTGGTTATGCTCCACAATTTTGAAAATAAACTCTCAACACCTGCATATGAGTTTCCAGGAATATGGCTCCAGTTTGATCACAGTATAGTATAAAGCATTCTAGATATATTGTTTTTATGTAGTAGCACTGACATTTATTAAGAGTTAATAGAGTCTATCAAGTGGCTTCTAGGGACACAAGAATGCCCTGAAACAGTATACAAATAAGTAAGTGTTTACATATCTTTCTGGCGGAGAATACCTTATTCATTGTTCTCTAGATACATCTGTTCCAGTAGTTCTCAAAATTTCTACTAAGAAAATCATCAGTAAAAAGGTTAATAAAGAAATACATAATTCATCCACATTAATCTATGCATTATTAGTCAACTAGATGGCTGCATATTGAAACATATATTAAACTTTCTATAAATTTTCTGAAATGTTTGGTATTCTAATATTATGCACTTTGATTTTAACTAAGACCACAACACTAAATGTTCATAGGAAATCAACTGCTCTATTTACTCTAATGCATTCAAAGTATTTTCCAGAAAATCACTCAAATGACATGCAGTTTTGGAAAATTGGGCTCCATTCTTAAATCTCAGTTGATTGAATAAGGCTGATTCTATCAAATATATTCACTATAAATAACTAAAAATACAGACAGTTGTGAGGAAGTAACATTTATCGGTGATATGTCCTAAACCAATGGACAACTTCTGTTTGAATTTTGTTATATTTTTCTCAATAAATTAGTATGCGTATGTATTCTTGTAATTCCTAAAACAAAATTGGAATCATTCGCCATACACAAGTTTGAACATTGATTTTCACTTGGAGTACAATGTTTGTACTTTCATACAGACTAAATATCTTTAGTGAACATTATTTTTAATGTTATAATACACAAAATTAAATCATAGCTTAATTTAATTACCAAAACGTTACATATCAATTGTAGAGAAGCAAATTGAAAAATAATGAAATATTTTTAAATTTTGGAATGAGATTTAGTTTCAATTTTGAAGTAAAAGCAATATTTATTTGCAATCTCCTATTAAAAGAGAATAGCTCTGTGCATTTGGTTTATTCTTTTCCACTTACTTTGTCTCGCAAACCATTATTCCATCATATTGAGGCATTCTCTTGTTGTTATGACTGACTCATATCTCTGTATACATATCCCTCTGGTTAGTTCACAAGGATAGATTCATAAATGTGGAATTGCTGACCAAATGCTTTGAACATTTTTAAAGCCCTTGCTAAATTTTTCTGTAGGTAATTTTTTCTCCAGAAAGCATCAACCACGTACACTTATGATTAATAAACTTTCAAAGTAACCATTTCACTCTACTTTTCTTAATACTAAAAATATCATTTATGATTATTTGCTTCTTTGTTGTCTCAACTGAAATTCTTATGAAAGATTTCTATTTTAATTTGAACAGAAAAAGAATTGAAATATATATTTAGCAAATAAAAGATATACATCAGCTCGGTGATTGCCGTTCATGTTGTTTCTGGTAATTCTTCACATGAAGAATATTTACTTTTTAATTTTTATCTCTTTTTGTTTTGTTTTGTGGTTTTTCTCCATTCTAAAATTAAATAAGCAAGCATCTATATTATGTTACTGATTTCTCATGGCCATATACTGTAGCAATTTCTCCAGTTATTCTAAATGCAATTTTGTTGTATGTTGTAACATTTTATATCACTTTTCACCTCACATTTTAACCCTTTTCCTTCTACTGTTTATTAAGTAGCACTTTATTTTTCATTAATGTGTAATGTTACCTTCATTGTACACTAAATGAATCCATTTCTGGTTTTTCTTTGGCCCATCTATATATGCATTTTAAGTGAAATTCTTATAATTAAGATAAATTTAAAATCTTTCAATTTCTAGTAGACAAATTCCATCTTTATTACTTTTTACCTTTAAATTTATCTTAGGAAAGTGCAAGTCAGATGCTTCTAGCTACCCAAAATTTTTAACCCCCAAATTATGCATGCAATAGTTACATTTATGAAGTACATGTACATGTAAACAAAAATATGAAATGTGGCTGCATGTAGAGCACATAACCATTGCAAATTATTTGAAAAACATGGAAAAACATTTTAGTTTTAATTATATTGTTATATTGTTATAGATTTGTCCCCGGATCTGACAAAGAGATGTATGGCATGGAGGGCCTAGAGAGGACTGTTTAGGCATGAAAGGTTACAGGTGAGTTAAATATTTTTGCTAGAAAGGCAGAGAGGTGCTGGTGGCCTATAGATGAGGAGAAAAGCATGTAGCCTTGGCACATTAATGCTGCTTATTTATTAAACGTTTTACACAAACATTTATTTTTATACCATACCAGAGTCCAGAATGCAAAACGTATTTCAACAAATATATCTAAATACAGTATCTTATCCCTAACTGGATTTTGGTTTTGCCAAGAACTGTCCCTCAAAAGAACTGACACATCCACACATAACTGCTCACCTGTGAATCATTCAGTCACAGAAAACAATTGTGTTGATAGAAATTAAAATAAATATTAAAATAATCAGAAGAAAATGTCTCTGAGCTTAATAGCAGAGGAAAAAGTTCACAGTAGAAAAATTACTTCATTTTGACCAAAAAATAATTTAAAATTAAGCAGCACCTAACAATTTGACAAAGATTTTTGTTTGTTTGTTAGGATTGCAATAGCAATTTTCTTTATTTTAGTTTATCATTTTTTTCAATTTTTTCAATTGAGTTCATGATAATTTACATCAATGTGAGATTTCGGTTGTATATTATTTCTTGACTCTCACCACGTAAGTGCTCCCCTTCACCCCCTGTGCCCAGCTCCCAGTCCCCTTCACCTGGTAAACACTGAACTATCTTCTTTGTCCATATGTTTGTTTATATTCCACATGCAAGTGAAATCATCTGGTGTTTGTCTTTCTCAGACTTGCTTATTTTGCTTAGCATAATTCCCTCTACGTCTCACACTTAAGATTAAGTGAAAATATTAGGACATAGTAAGTTTTAGAAAGCATTAAACACCAACATATAAACACCTTTCAAAGGGTATGAACTAAAAATAATAAAAATACAAAAATGTTAAAATTAATGAATAAAAATGTTAGTAATAAAACACAGGAATTAAGAGATTGTTTTGTAGTATCCATATTTAATACAGCTCAACATGACAGTCACTTTTATACACTGATGTTAGAAAAATAAAAGCATACATTTTCTCTGGAAATTAATTTCACATTATGCTTTTAAGAGTAGAAAATGTTTGTACGCTTTTACTCAGCTATTCCAATTTTAAGAATGTGCTGAAGGCAGAATAAGAAACTTGGGAGAAGATTTTCATAGTAAGATTTGTTTTATAATTGACAAAAAGGAAACAAGTGATATACTAACACAGGCAGACTTAATTTTGCACAGTACCAGTAAACTGGAACCTGTACAGACTGGAAATGTGTCCCTGCTTTGCATGGGCCCCAGTTTCCACAGCACTGTGCAAAGTGAGGACTCCCTGCATTTAATAACTGGGTAAACACAGGCAATATGCTGGCTCTAAATAACTAGAACCTCTGGAAAGGTGTGTGGGCTGTGACCATAAGGAGAATGTGACTATCATGTGACAGATTTTTGAATTAGCATGTTATACATACATGAAAATAAAGGAGTTCTCAGTTAAGGAAAGGGCAAATCATTTTATAAAGCTTTTTATGAAAAGAAAGGGTACAACAATATATATTATGATAACTTGGTAAAATACCAGGATTAAGGAAAATTAAAACTTATTCTTTATATCCATGTACAAATTTTCTATGACAAATATTTACTGCTTTTATAAGCAAGAAACAAACAAAAAAGGGCATATTTCCAATATCATCCCGATCCAAATATGTTAAATTGAATGATCTTTATTTATTACTGTTCGAATTGGAATGTGAAAATAAGAAAAAAGCAGGGATTCAAAACCTGTTCTATAACAGTGGTGAACAGGATAGTCATCCAGTTTTCTTCTAATTCAAGTTTCTGTTATTTTTCTCCTTGAAAATACTGTGCTTCTGAACAGGTTGAGATCTTCAGGCGTAAACAAAGCTGTACTTAACTGTTTGTTAGAAAAGAGGGATGATGCAAATAAATATCAATATCTCTATCTACTATGTTTTAATCTAGCAACAAATTTTTTTCCTGCTTTTTTTCTCCCCAAATCCCCACAGTATGTAGTTGTTTATTTTAGATGTGGGTCCTTCTACTTGTGGCATGTGGGACAGCGCCTCAACATGGCCTAATGAGCAATGCCATGTCCGCATCCAGGATTCGAACCCTGGGCCGCCTAAGCAGAGCATATGGACTTAACCACTTGGCAACAGGCCTGCCCCAAAATATTTCTTTTACTCAGGCTTTTTCTTCTTCCTCTCAAGCTT